TAACCCAGTAGATGCTGACATTTATCGTCAGAGTCTAAGTGCCATCAAATCCATAGAGTCCATAAGGTTTGTTATCTATATATCTACATTCACCTCTCATCTGAGAAAGCCCTTTCTGTGTTTACTCTTCTGCTTCTCTGTATCCACTGGCGGCCATGTTTCCATTCAGGTTCTCTGCCGAAAGTCGGAACCAGATATTTACATCAGCTGAATAAAAAGACATGCATTTATTCTCACTGTGGGAAGATAATTCAGACCAAACTTTTCCTGTTTTAGGTTAATTAGGATTACCAAAATTATTTATATTTGCCAAATGCCAGAAAAATGAGAAATACATTTAAATTATTATTGTTGAATTCAAAAGTTTACATATATTTGGTCAGGATCAGGAATAACTGTCTTTTAAACTTGGGTCAAACCTTTTGGGTTTTCTTCCACAAGCATCTCAGAAGTTTTCTGAAGTTCTGGTCCGTTCCTCCGGACAGAACTGGTAGAACCGAATCCATTTTGTACGCCGCCTCACTCCCTCAGACATTTCCATAGAACTGATATGGAGACTTTGTGATGGCAACACTAAAACACTGACTTTCTTTTCCTTAAGCCCCTTTTTTTTTTACCACTTTGGCTCAATGTTATTACATTCATGCTCAGTATGAGAGATTCCTGACACAATACAAACTGTTTTTACTGTCATTGTGTCCAGGATGAGCGAATGCTGCCAGTCGATGACTTGATGCAATCTGCTGGGCTTCCTTATTGAGAAAACCTTTGAGTTTTGCACCTCAAAGCAGGACAATTTGGGACAAAGACACTACAATACTAAGCTTTGAGTATAACTTGCTTCCCTTTTCACCCTCAAACATTTTACCTTCAATACAAAACAGGAAGTACATGTTAATGGTGCATCATTTTAAAGTTATATGGAGTTATTCCATAACTGACATCTAGCTCACCTTTGTTCTAAAACTTTTGAGTGAAACCATTATAACATCTAATTATGGAAAAAAGAAATGACGTTATGAAAATGACCAAAGAAGTTGTTGTCAAAAGACAGAAAATACAAAACTGGAGGAAAATAAAATGTTTCCAAAGCTTGGTGCCCTGACAGCAATCATTTTAGAACATTTTGATTCTCACAAGGCAGCTAATCTGAGCAACAGAAAGTCTCTGATTCATAATACTGATGTATCAAATATATTCAAAAAAACAATTTCCATTTTTACTGTTATTGATTATGTAACAATGATTAAATAAGTGTTAACTTCTTATTTTAGTCATTTAAAAATATTGCATGCATATAATTAAATGTAATAGTTTTTACCTTAAAGATTAATCATGAATCCTAAGTGAGTTCTGCAGAGCCGCATCAGAAGTTGTTTTCTCTGCATTTCCAAAGTGTATTTATAGCAATATTAGACATTCAAATGTTTGATAAACAGAGATATTATCTGGACACACCTGCTTGGGGTTTGTCCCAAACACACATTGCTTCTCAGTTGGTTCATTCTCTTGATGCTCCTTTATTAAATTCATTTTTTATTTGATGATAAAATCAAACTAACCATTATGTTAAAGGTAGCCCACCTTCCAAATGTCAGGCTGACTGCAGAATAATAAACTAACGATGTGTAATGTCTACACAATATAGTTTTGATAAATGCACACATATAGACGTTAAACTGACATCTAGATGTTTTCTATAGGAGTAATTTAACTTCCAATGCTTCTAAGATCTAATATGACCAAAAGAGAAATGAAAATGATGTGAGACTTTTGCAAAGAATTGTAATCCCCATTTAATTGTGTCTGTCATTCTGAAATGTTCTTTCCTACATCAGAAGAATAATCAGCCAAACTTTGAAGGTTTGCAGAGTTATTCACACATCATATTGTAGAAGTCAGAAAATACTTAAATGATTCTGTCTGTACCATTCTTTTCATTTTCATTCGCATGATTAATATCACTACATTAGTACAATAAACATATTTTGAGGAACACAGAACAAGAATTAGCTGATATTATCAACACAGCTTCAGGCCATGTTGATAATATCAGAACTTCATGTCATGTGAAATGGAGAAGCTTGCAGAGCCTCAGGGATTGTGCTTTGTGTTAAAGTCTGTCATGTAAATCATGTCAGTCAAAACAATGAACAGTGTGTGAATAAAGAGCAGGAAAAATCCCCCAACGCCGATTATATCTGCTTCCACATTTCTTTAAGGACAGGAGTTGTAAACAAAATGCAAAAGAGTAAATACACCTTGACATGCCAAATGTTCTATAGACCAAACATAAACCTAAAACACAGAAACTTAGATGTCATTAACTGGAAGTTTCTCTAATAAAATGAAACATGAAACTCAGAGAGCTTCAGTTATGATTGATGGAAACATCACTGATGTCACCAAGCAGACACTGTGAGAAGACTTACCTCCATCTGTGGTACTTAGCTTTTAGTTTTAGAACAGGTGGTATGTTAAAGTTCAACACTTACTGTACGGTTTACTTAAATTGTTTATTTTGCCTTATATTACATTTTTATGTGAATCTGTTGCTGTTTGTTAATTTGCTGCTGTTGTACAGAAATTTCCCCATTGTGGAAAAACAAATATTATTTCTATTATATTGTATCAATTAGTTAACTGTGAGTCAAGAAGATATCTCTGAGTAAAAACCATAAAAACTCTCCAGAATGGATGGTGATAAAGTGATCGCCATATCAACTGCAGGAAGTCAGAAGACAAAGTGTCACTTCCTGTTAATGGTATTAGAAATCTATTGGTGTATTTACATCATGAATCCTTTGCTCTGCTTGTTTGGTCCAGACCAAAAGTTTTCCTCTTGGTGCCGTTTGTTTTCACATTATTCTTTTTTGCAAGATTACTATAATTTCTCAACAATGTCTGATGGGTGACGATCATTGCTGCCATGGACAGAAATGACAGAACACAGACTGAAAGACTAACTCTGCAAATCCTGCACCCAGTGTTTCTATTGTGCACATTTGTGTTGTTATTGAAATGACTGTAATACCATTTTCAATGTAAAACAGTTCATTGAATGCAGGTTTTGGAATGTGATGTTTCTAATTTGTAACATCCTGGCAGAAGCATCACAACCAGAAAATTACTGATCAGGTCCAATTTCAGCACAATCAGAACATGCAGCGGCGCTAGTAACACTGAACGCATTCAGCTGTCATGTTCTTATTTAAATGCCTTCATGAGACCAGAGGAAAATGTTTAAAAGGTTTATTATAAAATGAAATGAATTTGTGGATGCATAGTCATCTGAAGTTAAACTGCCAAGTTTATTAGATGGAAACAGTGCAATCTACTTCAGGAAAAGGACATGCAGTGCTGTGAGAATTACATAACATTATAATTTTAATATCCATGCAGAGAAAATTAGGATAAGGAACTCCGAGCAGAGTGAGAGGAACTCCATCAGCCTCTTGTTGTAGGTCACAAATCATTTCCTGATGATGTTGCAGTGATGAAAACTGGCACAATGATTCTTCTTCCTCTTCCTCTGCTTTGCCTCTTAACTCCACCTCAGAGTCACTCCTCTTCCTCTTCCTCTTCCTCTTCCTCTTCTGTCTCTGTCCAGTTTGTCGAGTGCTGTGATTAAAGTCATCTATACATATCAGATATATTGGTCAATGTTCCAGTGTTTATGGCTCTTAAGCAACTCCAAGCAGTTTTATCTTTAGTCTTGATTTAAGGAACTCAGTGTTTCAGCTGTTTTGCAGTTTTATGGAAGTTTATTCTAGATTTGTGGTACATAGACGCTGCACATTTCCTAACTCCTCCTCCGAACCACATAACTGGTGTATCATCCCACATAAGGGAAAACCTGTCATTTTCTCAAATGAACCACTTAAATGTTAAAAATGAGCAGCGTAACATGAGAATCTGACAGCAGAATTATTTAGCTTAATCGTTTTAATCTTAATAGTTACACAGGACAAACATGACTATATTAAATATTAGAACATTTTTCAGGCAGGAAAACATCTGGATAAAATGTTGACTGCTTTGCACTGATGACTTATGCTCATATATTTGATTCTCATGCTTATTTTAGCAGTGAAATAAAGCTCATCTGTCCACTTTGTGTCACGGTTGCTCAAGATGCAATCAGCATCAAACATCATCTGCGTATCATTGGAGACAAGGTTCTGTTTGGTGCGGTGCAGGATGTTGGGACCCAGCAGTCTGCACAGGAACCGGACATCAGAACCAGAGAAATGTTAACGCTCATGCAGGTAAAGCCAAAACAAGATAAATTCTAATAAAGCTTATAAATTGTATCCTGTCATCAGCAGCTCCTGGGATAGAGACAATATGTATGTTTATAATCTGAATAATTAATTTTTAACAATTGTGTGATTTAAACTTTGCATACATTTAATTAAGTGTCAAACTAAATTTGTTTAAGTTGTGAACATTTTCAATTTCAATAACGTCAAAAACAGACCAATAAAAAATAAAATTCAAGATAAACCGTATTGGTTTCTGATCAGTGTGACGCTAACCGAGCAGATAAGGCTCCAGGATGAACTGAGTCTGGCTGTTAGTTCGGTCTGGAGCAGGACGGCTGCACAGGAGAAATCACCACACTGTGAAAGTCCTGCTTTGTGACACAAAGTCCAGACTTAATTCATCCAGGATGACTGGAAAATCCTGACTTAATCTGATATCATGGTTCTGTGAAACAGACATTAGGACATGAAAATAAATGTTTAAATGCATTTAATTATACCAGTAAATATGAGTTCAGATCCAATTACAATAACTTTCAGGAAATAATTATTCCTGAAAGTCACAAGGGTCAAACTTTTCTAAAGTTACATGGAGATGAAAGCAGAAGAAAAATTATATGAACCTTAAAAATCAGCTGCAGCAAACTGATTCTTGTGGATCAGTTTGCTGCAGCTGATTTACATAAAATGATATGTTGTGATATTATATTTTAATATCATAACAGATATTAAAACCTAAACAGTCTCAGTAGTTGTTGCAGATCTGCTTTCATGATCTGTGCTGATCGTCTCCTGATTGTTGGATATTTTACAAGAACAGATTGAAGCCAGAAACTTATCCATGATGCTTTTCCTTATGAACAAATACAAAGTTGTGTCTGCAAGAGGACTAAGAAAAAAACAAACTAAAGACACAGCAATGAGAATAAAGTGGAACTCATCATCTAATACAATAAAGTTACCCAGAAGGGAAATGATCATGGGCAGATAAAGCAGAGTGTAAATAATCAGCACCACAACCTGAATGGCTACTATTCGTCGTTTTTCATCTGCTGGGACACTGAGCGCTCCAGACAGAGCTTTGATAGTCCCAACCAGGAAAAAGATGAAGAAGGGAAAAGGCAGGAGGAGAACAATCATGAAGAAGGTGTCATGACTGTTATTGTCCTTAGTCCCATAGAAAAGTACTGGATAAAAAAGTGGAAGTATCCAGACCACAATGCAGACCACCACATATGTCTTGATGTTTCTCCTGAATCTGTACCACAGAGGTTTGGCAATGACCAGATACCTGCAATAACAGAAAGACATGTTTAGTCTCTGAAGGCTATTAAGGGCCGATTAATATTTTTATATCAGACAAAAGGAGTAAACATGGAAACATACCTTTCAAAAGAGACACACACCATGAATCCAACACTGACCATTGTACTAAAAAATACAATATTCATGTATTTGCCATTATCATCATTGCGTTTAGTAAAATCTAGTGGAATTCTGCAGCAGAGCTGAATGAGATCAGAGACGAGGAGGTTGATGACATAGACTGGAGCATCCTGACCCTTTCTCACCTGTGAGAAACACAACAGAGAAAAAATGAACAACACTATAATATTATCAACATGTAGAATATTCCACATGTTCCAGTCATTTCTAGAAACAAGACAGACTTCAGCCTGAGATGAGACAGAATCACAGTTTAAACAGCTGACAGTCAAGTAGCTCATCCATTATGAATAAATAGGCTGCAAATGTATTGGACTCACCTGGAAAAAAACTGCAGTCATCACTATAAGAATTAAAGGAAGTCCAATGCCAGTGGTGATCCAATTTATCCATGATACTATATGTACAACAAAAAATATGTCGTCGACTTCACTACTGTTATAATGAGTGTCGCTGAAGTTGAGGTTCATGTTGCTGTAATTAAAACTGTTTTCCCAAGACATGTTGAAGTTCAACTCTTTCATCCTTCAGTGTTGAACCAGGAGTTTGATGACAGGAGTAACTGTAAACAGAAATGATGATAAATGTATTGATCATCGTTGTATGACTTGTAAATCCTAACATTTACTATCCACCTGAAAACGCCAAACATTCAGTTTTTACAGATCTACTGCGGCCATGTTTCACTTCAGGGTCTCTTCTCAACATTTCATTGAGACACTTTCAACTGTGATTCTCTGGTTTCTCTATTTATTGCAACTCATTAGAAGGATTTATTTGTGGCATCAACAACGATGCATCAGGCTTGGAGGTAAAGTTATATTTTAACTGGGAACCTCTACAGGAAACTCACACAATGAAAAGATTTTTGTTTTGGATATTTTCATTTCTCTTTTATTATTGTAAGAAATTCCACTCTGCCATTAGAAAGATACATTTTTCATCTCCCGGTGACTTGCAGTGATTTACTGCAAGTCACCGGCCATGTTGAGAACCATCTTGTGTCAGAATCTCAGTCCTTTATTAAATATCGATTTGGTATCAGTGAGGTCATTAAAAAGACAGGAATATGATTTTTATTGAGTTCAATACTGAATGCAAATAATTCAAACACTTGTTAATACAGGAAGAATATTTTATATCTATATCTTATTTCTTGTTAAATAAAGGAATGAAAACAAAACAGTAAAAAATTCAAAAAACCAAATAATCCACTATCATGAAAGGAAGGAGGTAAATATTTCATCTCTTTTGAGTTTTATATTTCTGTCATACATGCTGCATTGCTAAAGGAACCGAGGTGCTTCATTTTATACACCTGAGGCCATGAAAGTGATCGGGACACCTGATTCCAATCATTTGGATGGGTGAGCAGAGTTTGTCCTCCAGTATCATAAGCCTGGTGGGCTGCCAGGCTTTACTTGCTCCCTGCTAGGCTGAGCCTTGTTTTGGTTTTTATTAAAAAAATCAAATAAATAATAAAGGATTATAGTTTTTAATAGTTGCTGCATTGGACAGGGAGCGTACGCCAATCACACCTCTGCCGCTTCGCACCCTGTCGCTGCTGGACCTCTGAACTTCATCCTGACGCAGTTCACACATGCTTGCTTTCACTCAAACTTTCATTTATTTAACTCTTTATTTTGCTTTATTGTCAAAGTAATAAAATCAAATCAAACTGCATCAGACTGCAGAGTTGGTCTGTGCAGCTGCACTGGATCAGAAAAACCCAAAAAGCAGAAGAAACCAAAATTATCTTAGTGGTTCTTATTTGAAACTCAACAAACACCAAATGTCTGTTGAGTTTCATGTCCTATGTCTCAAGTTATTAGGATCATCCAACTTACTAAGTTTTTATCATTCAATTCATTAAGAGTGTTATCATAATTTGTTTATGTCTCTATTACTCAAATTATTTATTTTATAATGAATAATTCAAATCTCTTTGACTAAATTCTGTGGAAAGTCAAATCAAAATATCCCAAATTACATCATCACTTACAATACAACTTGAATTTAAACCATTTTGATTTCAAGTTAACATGTTATTTTAGTTTTTTAAAGATCCTGTGCGCTGAAAAAATAAAATAGTTTATCCAACTGAATTTATTAATTTGGCTGGACTTAATAATAAGAATGGGAAGACATGCAGCAACGGTCATCAACCTGCGACGTCCACATGGAGGACTAAGGTCTCGTTTAGTTGTTGTTGCACCAGCATTAATTATTATCTAATTGGCTCCGGATGATAAATTATGTTTTGTCTTGCATTGAAAAGGTTTGTTCACTTTGACTAATTAGGACATTTACCAAATCATTTGTTTTGTGAATCTTGTCTCCTAAACATTGTTATCACCACATCAGCAGCAGAAAAATTTACTTTACATGATAAATAATATTAATTGAAAGAATAAACTTGTCAAAGTATAATTTACCTTTTGCTTTCCCAGATTGAGCCACTGAGCTGCTTTCCATGGAGCTGACAACTGAAGTGGAAACTGATGTTCTTCTATCAAATCAAGCTTTCTTTCTTTTTTTTTTTCTGTAGCACTTAGAACTGTTGGTCAGAGGAAAATTATTAATTCAAAGCTTTAAAGTGGATGTTAGCAGTTAATGCTCTGGCTTTTATGGTTTTGTTAAGAAGCAAAGTTCACTGATAAGGAAATCTGATGCATAAACTGTAAACATAATTTTATCATCCATTCATTTCCTTTTTGATGATATAATTTTCTATTTTGCATCAATTCATTTCATATATTCATATTTCATCTCTCAGAAAAGGTGATTGACATGACAAAGGTGTCTTCCAGTGACACAATTTCTATAAAATATGTTTTTTTTTTGTTTCAGTATTTTTTTCCTGAAGTTGGTGAAGAAAGTTTGTCTGCTGGAAAACAAACAGAAACTCACTTGGAAAATAGCATTGAATAAATAAAATAACATAATGATGATAGATTGGTTTATCATCAAATCTGTATTTTACTGTCATGCTGAAACCTCAGAGTCATGTCACCATTTAACAAACTCCATGATCCTTATTTAATATTTCATCTGTTCAGATTTGCATATAGATAAATCTGCCATAGATTTACATTTCCTGACCTTTAGATGACCTTTTATTGACTACATAAAAGTTACATAATTGCAAAGTCGGGATTTATTTCAATTATTAATCTTCATCATTGTTTTAATTGTCTTGATTACATTTTATTTCACTGTAATGAACTTTGGTACCGTTAATAATGAGAGTTCTCTCTCAGAGGACTTTTAGATGAGCAAATATTTCAAAAATAATATTTTATTGTAATGACAAAAAGATGACAGAAGCATATGTGAACTTTATACATATACTGCAGTCATAAAAAAAAATAAAAAGCTTATTTGAAACCCCTTTTAAGTAAGTTATCCATTTTTTGTCATCAGATATGGTTCATGGTTTAAAAGGTTAGAGTGAAACAGAAAACTCTGCTGCAGATTTTACAGCAAAATCAGTCTTACTAGACTTTAAGATATTAAATTTAAAACATAATGTGAAAATGAACATTTTAAAAAGACTATTGGGAATAAATAATGTCCCACAAATGTTAGGTTTGCTCAGAGATTAAAGCAGATTATGTGGAGTTAGCCAGTCTGTTTCTGTATCTGGCAGCTTTAAATGACATAAATGCAGGGATTCATTTCTATTTAAGATTCATCAATCCTCTGACACAACAAACCCAGATGACTCTGAAAGCTCTTGTGAATCACCTTGCAGATCAAACAGTGTCCGTACTTGGAGCAGTCATGTTGTCATTTCCCATGCTGCTCATCTCCTCACCATCAGACATTTTACAGAAACACAGTGAAGCTAAAACTTTGTCCAGGAGGCTTTTTCGAATCAGCAAATACAAAATGGTGTCTGCAAGAGGACTCATGTAGATACAAATAGAAGCCACAGTCTGAAGAGTCAAACTGTTTTGTAACAGGAACCAAACGATGATGGGCAAGAAAAGTATTGTGTACATAAGCAGCACAACAACCAGAATCGCTACAATTCTTCTTTCTCATCAGCAGGAACTCGGTGAGCTGCAGACAGAGCTCTGATGGTTCCACACAAGAAGAAGATGAACAAGGGGAAGGGCAGGAGGAAAATAAAGGTCAAGATGTATGTATATATCTTCATGAATGGATTGAACTGAATAGCCAACAATAAAGGAAGAGGAGGACCCAGACCACAATGCAGACCACAACATATGTTTTTCTGTTTCTCCTGAACTTGTACCAAACTGCTTTGGCAATGACCAGATACCTGCAATAAAAAATCGACTTATTTAGTGTTTGGAGGCAGGAGAAGATCAGACATGCTGGTGTAAAATACAGAGAAACATAATCACCTTTCCACTGAGATGCACATCATGAATCCCACACTGACTAATATTCCCCAGATACAGAAGAAACCAGGGATGACATCATCCATAGACAAAATCATAGGAATTCTGCTGCAGAGCTGAAGGAGATCAGAAATGAAAAGGTTGATGATGTAGACTGGAGATCCTTGATCCTTTTTCAACTGGAAGACAGAAACAGGAAAGGTTCAACGGGAATGTTCATAACATGTGGGATTTCCCGTTCCACAAATGCTGAGGGGGAAACAATCCTTACAGGGAAAATCAAAATGTCAAATAACATTTTCTTTAAATTCCACTGGACTCACCTGCAAAACTACTGCAGCGATGAGCATCAGAGTCAAAGGAAGTCCAATCCCAATGGTGATCAAATTGATCCAGTCTGAGAATCCACTGTAATCTCCAGAGTTCCCATCAGTGTCGTTTCTTCTCTCGCTGTCGTTGCAGATCATGTTGCTGGAGTTGTGAGGATTTTCCCATGATGTCCAGTTGATGTGGAAAACTTTCATTCCTCAGCGCAGAAGCTGATTTTTGATTGACCGTAAACATAAAGAATGAAACATTGTTCAGTTAAAGTTTTTGCATGTATGTCCAAATCTTGAATGGAATATAAAAACATCCTCTATAGTCTCCTTGTTTTTCAAGAAGAACATTCTGTAATTCAGAATGTTTAGTTTAGGTTGACCAGATTCAGTTTGAATGCTTCGGTATCACAGTCGATGTCATCTGTTATTATGGCTTAGGGTTGTTTTTAATCAACTCTTAACAGATTGGAGATATTTTTAGATACCATCCACATCAAAATCCTGTCTGGGGTTTCTCCATAGAAATGGTTTCACAGACTACACCCACAGTTTGGATACTTTGTGAAGCAACTCTGGTTCATATTTGTCTGTGGTCTGAGTTTTTCCTCCAATAGGTAATAATGAAAGTCCTTACGTATCATGTGCTTCAAGTTGTGTGAAGTTCAGGGAATCTGCTTCGATCAATATGTAAGGCATTTATCTTCCGGGTCCAGTGGATTTGCATTTAAACCAAATGTTCACTGCTGCAGCAGACCTAAATGCAAATCCACAGTATTGAACTGAATCGGAAATCTTCATCCCTGTTCATCGTCTGAAAAAATGTCCTTTGACTGATGAAACCACATGAATTCCCATTTCAATCAAGCACTAAACAATCCTCACACAGTATAACAAAGAAATAAAACAATAGATTCCAGCTTGTAACAGTTAAACCTTAAAAACATGAATCATTTGCTCTCAGGAACTTGATTTCCATCACCTCAACAGCAGAATGACCAGAAAACAAACAAAGTTATTAGCAATAATAGTCTTCTGAGAGCATAACTTACATTTTGTTTGTCCAGAGTTAGTTAGATTTATGCAGCCACCGAGATTCTTTAACACGCTCTCACATTCAGCTATGAACAGGGAACTTCTGTTCTGAGATCAAATCATGTTTTGTTTCTGTAGCATTGATTGATTTGAAGAAACTGAGCGCTCTTAAGGCGGTAAATTATCTCTTATTACGTTGGTTTTAATGCTTTCACAAGAAAAACCATTTAGGAGGAAATCTGATTAAATAATGGCTCCTAGAGTCTAATGGGTTGTGATGATGTAAGACTGAATAAAAACTGCTAAGTGCGTAAAGATGAATGTGTGTTTTTAAAGTAACATGTGGAACATGTTGGCCATGCGATGATGCTGACTGCTGCATGCTGCACCTAAAACATCAAATCTGGCCTCAAATTTGAAAACTGCTGCATTCGACCCACTTTGGAGCCAGACTTTGTGAGGTAACTCAAAATAACTCACCGCAGTACTTCTGTGATGAGAGGCTTGGGGAAATCCAAGCTGAAGTTTTGCTTTCAAAATAAAAATGTAAGCAAAAGTATTAAACTTTTTAACAACAAAAGATATAAAATCAAGCTTTAATCAAGGATTTGGTTTTGATGAATAAAAAAGAACAATTAGTTCTGATAAAAACCGAGTGGATATGAAAAAGTTTTCCTCAAAATTTTCAAAAATTTTATTTGAAAATGAAATAACTTAAAATGCTGTTAGAATTTTTGCTTTACTCAAAATAAACAGCTAAAATACAAATAAAATATATTAAAATAGTTTACCTTTGAAAGCTGTCAGGCTCCTTCTAGATGATTTCTCTCCTCTGGTGTTTGAAGGATTGCTCTCTGCATCAACAGTCTGCAGAATTTACCACTGGACACAACATGCAGTTTGTTTCCACAAAAAATTTTTGCAAACCCTGTAATGCACATCTCTTTCTTATTTGAATACTCAGCTCACTTTTATGCTCCTTCCTTCTCTGGAACTGTTTGTTTCCACAGAGTTTTGAATGTAACATCAATGAAAGGTGTGTAGATAATAATATTCACAAAAATATGCAAAAATGTCTGACATCCAAAAGTCACCTTGGCAGTTTTTAAATGCATGATTTGGTATTATAACAGACCGTGTTGCTTTTCTGCTGGAGACTTCAATACAACCAGAACTGCAAAGTTTTGGTTTTTTTCAGTCCTCCAAGAATTTAGATTTAATTATTTTCTTGACAGAAATGACTGCGATGGAGTGAAAGCATTTATAACCTTCATAAAAGCAGAACAAATTTCATTGGACAAACATATGGACATAAAGCTGCAAACAAGTCAATATTCTGATCTGTAATAATTTTCAGGTCTCAGGAAACTAAACTAAATTATCGTTTTTAGTTATCAGATTATCCAGACTTCCTTCTGTCTGTCTCTCTGCTGCTGTCACTCCTGACTCTCCCCATGAGGGCGAGTGAAGGATATTTATCTGAAACCTTCCCTCACATACATTCTCATTGGTTGATGCATCACATCAGTTCATCCTGTACACAACATGCCTCGTTCAGTAACAAAGGCCAAAGGTCATTGAGGGGAAGTTGCCAACAGCAGGCATGGCTGCTTTTGACCTCAGAGCTACTCAGACTTCCTGCCTGATACCAAACTGAGGGCCATGCAGTTGACTGAATGAAGGACATGAGAAGCTTTTTAAGTTTTCTTGTCACCAGCTCCAACAGATCCACCAGAGTTCATGGATCTGCAAAAGAGACTGAGTGTAACTGAGTGGCATCAAATTGACCACAGGGCCAAACATGGGGAACAGGAAGAGTGTCAGTAGGTGGAGCTGCAGCCAAAGTTTTAACAGTTATTATTTCCTTTGATGATTACATGAATTGTGTTGTTTTACCAGGTCACAGTTCACCATGTCCTCTGTTCGTCTCCCTCTCAGAAGCTTTATGTCTCTGCTTCATGATGCTCTGAGGTTTTCCATCACATGACTCACTCATGAGCTTCATTTGCTCTACTGCGACATCATGTGGACAATATATGTACAACGGGCAGAGTGAAGGTGATGGGATGTGTGAAACTTTAGAATAATTCAAAATACATATATTTGAGACGCCAGACATGGTCTGCATTTTGTCCAAATCTGTTTTTATGACACTGGATCAAAAGAAAAATATCTTGAAATGAAATGAACAAATTTAATCTTCATTTTATAGAATCTTCTTGTTCTATAAAATGAAGATTTCAATGTGAAGCTCATTTACATTGAAATGTCATTGAGCTTGTGTTACTTTATAATCTGAAAATGTCACGACAGACAAAATGTTTATTATTCTGATCATTATTGATTAATTTTTCTGATTAATAATTAAAACTTTTACCTGCTTGGTTTCAGGTGTTTCTGTTCTGGACTGACAAAGCCACCAGCAGTTTCATAAAAGTTTGGATCAAACATTTTTCCAAACATTGCAAACAATTTAGTCTTCTTCCATTTCAAGGTCCTTCTGGTATCTTCTGTAAAACCAAACTGCATCGTCCTGTAGCATCATTTCTGGAAACACTAAAACAGACATTTTGACTTCTGCAAAGTTTCATTTTTAAATGTAAATATAGAGTGATATTTAAAAAGGATGTTGAAAGTCATAGTCACGTGTTATTGTGATGTAATGCCGTTGTGCAACATGGTCTGACAAGGCAAGGTATTTAATTTATGAAATAAAAAGTTGTTGGATTAAAGAAACAAACTTTACACTGTTTTTTCAGGAAGCAGATTTATTATCACAAATCCCCAACAAACACTCAGCATCCATTTTTTAACTACCAACACATTTAAGATTCTGCATCTCATCTTTCTGAATTCCATGAAAAAAATGACAGACTAACCTCATGTTTTATGGTGATATGATGATCAGCAGTGGAGAATCCAGAAATGTTAAAAAAAGTATATTTACAGTATATAAAGTCACTGTTGCTACAAAAACACAAGCTGTATTAACATTTCTCTGCTTCCCTTTTTGTGTGGTGCCATGAACAGCATGAACAGTTTCTGGTTTCTGTTGATTTCTGAGGAGATAAACTGCAGTTTTGCTTCATCACAGCCGGAAAGATGTTAGTTGAAAAAGATAAATCACCTCACGAACACTGGAGATGAGGAAAACTAACAGCACATGTTCATGTTTGCAGAATTAAAAACCTAAAACTTCAACTTCAAGCCGTCCGTCCTGCTTTGGAGTCGTTGGTTTTTTAGCCTTAGTTTAGGTTTGGCAACTGAATTGGTTCAATCTACAGATGAATAAAAGTAGTCTTCCTGTTTTCTGTTGACAGAAACTTTTTCACTTGAAATTATTTGACACTTTTTGAATGTTGTCCCTGTTTTAATCAAACAGATAAACAAAGATAAAAGTCTTATGAACATCTTTTTAAAACTGTCTGAGGTACAGAAGCTAAAACAACGCTGAGAATCAAGCAGGTTGTCATTTTTCAGTTGTTGAGTTTTAGTTTTCAGAAGGAAATAAAAGGGTCATGAAAAATTCAAAACATATAGTTTAAAAGAAATTCCTGCAAATAATCCGTGAGTATACTTTGAGAAAGTCAGCTTGGACAATATTTATGCATCAGTGGCACCTAAACTGCTGTCTGTAGAGTTGACGTGTCGTCATCCAGTGTGTTACGACTAAGACTCTCCTGATTCTCAGACGTTACACAGAAACACAAAGAGGTCAAAAGCTGATCAACTGCAGTTTTCCTCAGAAAAATATACAAAACTGAGTCTGCAAGAGGACTAAGATAGATGCTAATCAGAACCACAGTATAGAAGGTTTGATTTTCCTTTGCTCCTTCTAACAGAACAAATACTGTGCATGGCAGAAAAAGCAGCATATAAGTAAGCAACACCACAACCAGGATAGAAATGATTCGACGTTTTTCATCAGCAGCGACACTGCAAGTTTCAGACAGAGCTTTAATTGTCCCAACCAGGCAGAAGATGAACAAAGGAAGAGGGAGGAGAGAAAGAACAGCACTAATGATGCTTTTTGTCTTCATTTCCTCAATGAAATGATTTATCAGGACATAAAGAACAGAAAATATCCAGATTATCAGACAAACCACCACAGATGTCTTGATGTTTCACCTAAATCTGTACCACAGCGGCATGGAAATGACCAGATTCCTGGAAGAAAAGATACCTGTTTATTACTGATGTCATAGTGTCACAAAAAGCAACAATGTATATGGATACAGATATTAACCTTTCCAGGGAGACACACATCATGAATCCTACACTGGCTGCCAAGCCCAAATTGAGGGCAATAACAGTGAACTTATTGTGACCATAAACTATCATAGGAATTCTGCAGAAGAGCTGGACGGCGTCAGAAAGCAGAAGGTTGAAGATGTAAACTGGAGCAACATGACCCTTTTTCACCTGCAAAATGAAAAGGAAATAAAAACATCACATTTCTTCCTGACTTTCTGCAACTTTTAGATTATTCTTCATCCACAAATATAATGTGATTTTTGTCTTTTTTTGAGCAATCAGACTGAAACCGAGAATGTAAAATAAAGCCAAAAATCATAAAACAATCATAGAAAAAAATCAAAGGGCTATTTAGCTTGATCTTAGTGAACAAATACTCACCATTACTAATACAGCAAATATGGACGCCAGAGTCAAAGGAAGTCCAATGATGAGAGTGGTCCAATTCATCACTGCTACAAATACATTATTACTGTTATTTGTGCTCTGGTTAACGCTTTGGTTCCCTGAAGTTCTGCTGAGGTTGAAATCTTCCATTCTTCAATAATGTCACACCTGCATGAACAAAATGATGAACAATGGAAACTTGTTTTTTTCTTTAAACTTAGTTCAGAAAAGTATTTTTAAAAAAAAAATCCTCGGATCCTTGAAACTTTAATTGTCAATATTTAAAGTTTCCAATGCAGAATTACAGAGATGTTGAGTAGGTGATGAAAATGTTTAATAAAGAAACAAGGATTGAAAAACCAGGTCAGGTTAAAAAAAAAATAAAGATAAAATCAAAGAACAGTGAAGCAGAAATGTAAGGAAGCAGTGAGTAACGTCTGCAAGAGACGAGCTTCAGAATGACACCGAGGGACCAGGAAATGAATCTAACATAAAGAATAACTGGAGACATAATGGAGCTGGAGTACAAGAAACAACGAGAGATAAGAAATTAACAGAAAAAAACTAGAAACTAAAAAAGACCAAATTAAAGAATAATGGGATTGAAAATGTATTTAACCAAAATAAGAAAAACTAAATATTGAAACTAGAATAACTAAGAAAGGACTGAAAGCAGGTGAAGCAAAAACCTGGTTGATCTAAATAAAAGACAGAAATAAGCAAACGTCAACCAAACAACCTGGGATCCTGGAACCTTATTTAATTTAAATTAAAACATACTGAGAATAATCGTCTTACCTTTATTTTTCTCCTCTCAATCTCCTCAATCTTGCACAAGTGAAAGCAAAGTGGTCAGGTGAACAGAGTTTTGAACACAGAGAGAGGAAGTGACTTGAGAAGTGCTTCACAAAACTGACACCTCCAAAATGTTTCCTAATCTTAGAGCCGCCTGTGTCAGAAATGACTAACAAAGCTGCTGTCTCAGTTTACTGGCTTTGCAGATTCATTGCACTGGATCCATCTTTATTTCGCACAGGATGAGCAGTAATATGTCTTCTGATGAGATGTTTCATCTGAAGGTCACTTTGCAGTGATGCCTAAAGTCCTGCTCCTTTCAGAGGTACAGAAATATTACATCACAGGTTTCATGTTCTGCAGCATATCTCCTCTCTACTCACGTTTCTCCTTGAGATCCTAATTCTTGCAGCTTGGACACATTCTCAGTGATGAACCTACAGTCATCATACTTGTTGCCCAAGAAGTATTTGCCTTCCAATAAGCAAATTTATTTACATAATTTCAATTTGCATTCCCAGCATGCATATGTGAATAAAAGATATGAAGTCAAGCCAACAAAACAAGAACAAAGATTCAAAATCTATACAGAAAAATCCCTTTGAAATTATTTAGACTTTCTTTTAAGACAAGTCAGACTTAGTTGTACATTAGTCCTTTCAATAAACTTAAATATGGAAAAACACATTTACTCCAATAATTTTATTACTGGTGAAACACATTATATAGATTTAAAGTACACTGATGCGCGCTAATTTCTGTGAATTATGATGATTGTCCAGTCAGAGTTTATAAAAACCTGATATTTAAAACTAGAATATTTCATCAGATCATGTCAAAGTGTTTGGAGGCATTTTGCTCTGGTTCAGCTTGTAGGTTAGAAAATAAAGTACAAAATCCAACATTTTTGAAATAATCCATAAAGAGTAGAAATTATGCTCAGTGAAACTGAACATTCAGCAGCTTTCCAAAAGGCCCGAAAAAATTATCAAAGGCAAAAAAACTGAGGAGCTGCTCCACCTTCAACTGCCAACATTTCCAACATTTTCAGACAGAAGTAAAAGACGAAAAGACTTTAAAGATTAATATGCAAATTAGAGGCTAAATTTATCCCACATGTCCCTGAACAACCTGACATATAAAAGCCATCACAGTGTAACAGATTCACATTGATAGTTCACAGCAGGAAGAAATCAAAATGAATTTCTAACTTCTGATTTCAGATCTGAGATCAAAAATCGTTTATTTTTTGCTGCAGAAAATAAGCAATAGATCTGTTACACATCAATTTCTTATTATGGCTGAAAAAGGATCTTACATTTTTAGGATCTTCTTCCATTAGAAACATAAATGTTGAGTTTCCATAACAAAAACATTTCAATTAAATCCCAACTAATTTTATTTATCTGCATTGTTGCTATTAGACAGACTCTGTGATTCAAAATCAATTAAATTGCAAAAACGTTACAGTTGAATAAATAAAGTTTTTTTACTGTTTTCAGCAACTTTGGGTAGCAGAAACCTTTTCACATGAAAATGTTCGACACTTTCTAAATATTGTGCTTGGCTACAATCAATGTGAGGAAAGCAAAGACAAACAATTTAAAAATGTCTGAGATACAGAAGGAGAGACAACTCTGAAAATCAAGCAGGTTGTTGAGTTTTAGTTTTTCAGAGGAAATATAAAAGATTATTTTAAAAAAAGCAAAACATAACGTCTCATAGCAATCTATTTCACAAATCATCCATAAGAATACTTTAAGAAAGTGATGATATTTGTGCATTGACGGCAGCTAAGCTCCTGTAGTTCAAAAAGCTGACATGTTGATCTCTTTATTCTCAGACTTTACGCAACACAATGAGGTCCCAAGCTGGTTAAATGCAGCTTTCCTCAGAAAAATATACAAAGACGAGTCTGCAAGAGGACTGAGAAAAAGTCCAATCGTAACCACAGTCCAGAAGATTGAATTTTCACAGTTGTTTTTCAACAGATAATACATCATGTTGGGGATGAAAAGCAGAACATATATTAACAAAACCACAACCAGGATGGAAACAATTCGCTGTTTTTCATCAGCAGAGACACTGCGAGCTTCAGACAGAACTTTAATGGTCCCGACCAGGCAGAAGATGAACAAGAGCAGAGGGAGGAGGAGACCAGCAGCCTGGATGACTTTTACAGTATGAAACTCCAAAAGGAGATACAGGCTAAGATTATAAAACAAAGAAAGGATCCAGATCATGACACAGACCAACACAGATGTCCTGATGTTTCGTCTAAATCTGTACCACAGCGGCTTGGAAATGGCCAGATACCTGGAATAAAAGATTTGCACAGTCAGACATTATTGACGCAACGACAGAAACAACAATATACATATAAAAAGATATTTACCTTTCCAGGGAGACACACATCATGAATCCAATGCTGGCTGTAATGGCAAAATCGAAGGCACAAAAAGACGACTCATTAGAAGTACGAGATATTATAGGAACTCTGCTGCAGTACTGGATGACATCAGAAAGCAGAAGGTTGAAGATATAAACTGGAGCAACATTATCTTCTTTCACCTGCAGGGGAACCAAAAGGAAAACAAACAGAAGATTTCCTTCCAACTTCCTGCAAATTATTTGATTCTTTTTCCACAATTTGTTTTGTTATTATTATTATTTTTGAATAAGCATTCCTAGAGAAGTAATATTAATACAAAATATACATCTAAATATAAGTTACCAAGAACTCACCTTTAATAAAACAGCAAACATGGCCACCAGAGTCAAAGGGAATCCAATGACAATAGTGATACAATTTACCGCGTACAAGACCTGGTTCTCATCAGAACTGTTACTGGTTCTGTTGGATCCATCAGTGGAGTTGAAGACGTTGTGACTGAGGGAATCTCCCATTCTTCAATATCAAACCTGCATGAGCAAAATAATGAATAACAGAGACTTCATTTTCTCTTAGCTTAGCTCAGAAACCTAGTATTCATTTTCTGTTTTAAGGGAAAATCCTGGAAAAGGATGTTTTGCCAAGAATATAAACATTTTTAGTGTTTTAAGTACAAAATAAAATGTTCTAGATTTTAAAAATTCTTGAAAACAATGATGTTTAAGCAGTTCTATTAAATTAAATATATTTTTCAGAGAAATATTAAATTAAATATTTAATATTTAAATTAATCTCTTTTTTTTCTGTACAAAGAAAAATTATATTTACCTTTCAAAGTTTAAAGATCCTGAAACGGTTCCTGTTCTTAGCCAGTTAACCTTCTCATCTCAGCGGTCTGAACATTCTGCTTACAAACGAACGTCTGAACAATGACGCATGACTTCTGTATTAAAGGAAATGGGCGCAGAGATGATGTGATAAGTCTGTTTTCTTTATCAGCAGGAAGAAAACATCTTCTAAGATCACAACAAAATGTTTCAGTTTTCATTAACCAACTTCTTTCAATTGAATTTAGTTCAGCACCAATTAGCAGGAAATATCCTTTGAATGTTTTTAACAAAAGAAAATGGATTTTAACTTAAATTACTATGTTACCTTTTCTAACTCGCATTCAACAATTTAAACCACTCATGTTTTGGGACTCCGCTGTCAGCAAGCAGCTCCACATCTGTAAGTGTTTTCTTTAATTTTAAAAAATAAAAAATTGAGTCATGGAAACGTTTCACATTAATATTGATGAACATTGCTTCATCACCATGGTGGTTCTTCCACCCTCCTTTGTGTGATGTTAGCTGGTGGGCTATGACTCAAGATGTGGTTTTTAAACTTTTTTTTAAACAGAGACACTGAAGCGTCTCGCTTTATGTTAGTCTCTCTGCAGCTAATGCACTAGAAAGGATGGCACTGCTTTTAATGAACAGACCTGAACTAATTTATAGTAAAATGACTATTTTACTATAAAAACTTTATTTGTTCTCCTCCTGCTTCTGAAGTGAAAAGAGATGTGGTCAGATGAAACGGGTTCTGAACATAGAGGAAGTGAAGGTAGAAGTGTTTCACAAAATGACATCTTCCACATTTGATATTTAGTTTATAATTATGACTATGTGTGAAGAAGCCCAGTGGTTCTATCACTAATGGTCACTTTGGGCTTGGATGTTCTCACTTTGTCTTATTTAGTGTCAGAAGCAGAGGCTATGTTCTGATTGATGAGGGAATCTTCCATTCTTCAATATCAAACCTGCAAGAGCAAAATAATGAATAAGGAAGACTTGAACTTATTTATTAATTGTAAGAAATAAATAAGGAGAAATCCTAAGAAAAGTTCTTTTAAGGAATCTTTTTTCGTACAAAAATAAAGCATAAGGTAAAGATAACACATTGTAATTCTTGAAAGTTATGAGTGCAAAATTATCCAAATGTAAAGTATGTGCTCAGTTTTTACCTTATTATACTGGCATGAAGGTAAATGCTGTTTCTAATTTTACATCGCAGTTCCATGAAATTAAACTCAATAAACTCACTATTCAAATATATTTTTATCTTTCGAAGTTTAAATGTCCAGAAATGATTCCTGTTTTCAGCCAGTTATCCTTCTCAACTCAACATTCTGCACTCTGTACATAAAAATGAACACACAGATGATGTGATAACTCTATTTTCTGTAGAAAAAGGAAGACAGAATCTTCTAAGATCACAATTTTTTTTAAACTCACATCATGAACCAACTTGTGTCAAATTTAATTCTCATCTTACCTTTAGTTTTATACCTTTGCATCCAGTTAATAACAATAATATATCTTGTGATAGAAAATGTGTTTCTGAATGAGATTATTTCTCTTTCAGATGTTTAAAGTACAACAACCTCACATCTCAGATGACTGGGTGAATTTTTACCTGCATTTGAGATTCAGTTTTTTTCTCTTTTCTGAGACAAAAACTGAACATCACAATAAACCTAATTTGCAAGACACAATAAATAATGACATCTTGATAAAACAAGGCAACAATTTAATTCATGATTAGTTGGGCAGCATTTTAAAGTGGAAGTGAAACTCAAACTATGCAAAAAAAAGCAAAACCAAGATATCAACAAATTAAGATGAAGGCTTATAACGTTCATATACAATTCATTTGTCAACATTAACAACAGCTTTAAGATATGGCAGACAAAGAAGGAAAAAAAGTTAAATCCATAATAAAAGCTACATAAAAATGTACAACAAATGTAGAATAATAAAATCCACAAAATAAAGACTTAATGAGTTGAAACTCTTTCTGTCATTCATGTTTTCGGCTTCATTTTGAAAGCCAGCGTTGTGTCTAGTTTTACATTGTATGTTTGTTTTAAACTGTAAGAGTTTTTATTTGTTTTTATCTATTTTATGTGCAGCACTTTGTAACAGCTGTGGTTGTTTTAAAGTGCTTTATAAATAAAGTTGGTATGGTTTGGTGTCAGTGTCTCACCACCAAAAAGGAAACTGCTTTTTAAAACTCTGCCCTACAAATTCTGCTTTGTATGTGAATAAAGACTTAACATGCAACCAGTGCTATTATATACTGCCATCAATTTTTAAAGAAGCAAATGGATGAAAATGCACTGCAAAGGAGAATCAGACTCTGTTTTGCTGCAACACTCTGGATCAGCTGAAGAGTTTGTTAAAGCAACAGTTTGGAAAGTACAGCAATGTTTAGTTTTCTAACATTAAACACATCCATTCATTTTACCTGGACCAAGGTTACAAACAGACAAGAAACCAAAAATGATGAACAATATTATAGGAATTGATAATGTAATAAGTGTAAATGTAGCTTTTGTTTAGCCAGATTTGGTCAAAAGGCTCCAGCCAGAGAAATGTTGGCATCTGCCAGCTGACAAGAAAACTGCTGTATTGCAACTTCAGCTGTTTAGAGCTGGTTTAGGGACAAATGGCATTAATCAACATTTTGAAATTAAAGTTAGTTAATGCATTAGCCTTAGTGCTTTTTTGAAGAAAAAAAGCTCAGTATTGAGGAAATCCTATGAATAACTGATGTGAAACAAGATGCCGCCCACATGAGTCATTACTTTGCTGAACCAGATGTTGCTGCTGTTCCTGCTGTCAGTCTTCAAGGTTTATTTCTACCAACTTTGCTCATCTTGTGACTGAAAGTTTCGACAATTCTTTGTGAAACAGCACAAGCTCAGTCAGATTAGATGGAGAGTGTTTGTGAACAGTAGTTTTCAGACATTGCCACAGATTCTCGATTAGGTTTAGTTCTGGACTTTGACTGGGCCATTCTAATGTCGTCCTGGCTTTATGCTTAGGGTGGTTGTCCTGCTGAAAGCTGAAGCTCGCCCCAGTCAAAATGTGGATCCAGAGAGAGAATATTCTTGGCAGATGAAAGCAGAACTTTCTTCAATCAAGTGAAAAAGCATTTTTAATTTTTCCTGAAATATCCCAGCATTTTTAACACCATAAGCAATGTACATGGTTTCCCTAACATCTAACATTTAAAAAGTCTCAAATATTCGTAATTCTAAAGTTTCTAGGGGTGTAGCAACAGGTCTGATAGAAACATTCTCAATCAGCAACAGCCTGGAAAAAATATATTTATACTTCCTGGTCTGTCGAAACATCTGGCCTGTCTGTACTGGTGTTGCCCCTCTGTTGCTCATCAGACATTTTGCAACAACAAATTGAGATCAGAAGTTTGTCTATTACACTTTTCCTGATGAAAAGGTACATAGTCAAATCAGCAAGAGGACTAAACGACTGCAATATGAATGTTATATTGCTAAAAACATTCAGATTTCTGGTTTCATTGACCAAAAACCAAATGATACTGGGAAAGAATAAAACTGTGTAAGTAAGGAGCACAACAACCAGAATAGCCAAGATTCTCCGTTTTTCATCAGCAGACACACTGTGGGCTGCAGACAAGGCTTTAATGGTCCCAACCAGGAAGACGTCAGCAGAGGCAATGGCAGGATGAGGAAGACGGCACAGAAGAATCCGACCACCTGAAAACCCAACTTTAATAAAATGAAAAGGATGAAGAAAGTAGGAAGCATCCAGATGACAATGCAAACCACCAGAGAAGTCTTGATGTCTCGCCTGAAGCGATACCACAACGGCCAGGCAACGGCTAAATACCTGCAGGAAGGGAAATGAATATTAGACATCTATGAAGAACGTCACATTTATAAAGTATTATATCTGAAAAATTAGATAAGTATAATCAGATAGTCACCTTTCCAAAGAGACACACACCATGAATCCTATGCTGACCATCAAAGCATAAAAGTAGGTGTAATGGACGATAAGATTACCATTAACTAAGTTCTCTGCAACCATGCAGCAGAGCTGAATCAGATCAGAAAGAAGAAGGTTGATGATGTAGACTGGAGTGACGTGATCTTTTTTTATCTGCAGGGAAATTTAAATATGTTCACAGATATGTCTTGTAAACGGGTTAGAGTTCAGATTGGGCTCAAAACATCATTTATTATTTTAATCTGACAAACACCCAGAATCAGGACTGCTCACTGCTCTTATTATTTACTCACCAGAAGATAAACTGCAAAGATGGCAATTACAGTCAAAGGAAGTCCAATGCTTGCAGCTATCAGCTGCCCCACGTGTGCATACACAGTAAAATCGAAGTTGTAATTGTGCATGTTGGATTCCTCAAAGCTCTCGTTGGACATGTCACTTTCGTCTAATGAAGAGGCCTCTGGTGTGAAATCTGTTTTTGGAGAACATTTTCCATTGACAACGTGAAGAAAGACAACAAAGAACTTCACAAATAGAGATTGGTTCCTGCAATATTGTTACATTTAAAGGACTGCTGCTCAGAGTGTAGATGGTAAATGAGCTGAACCTGGGTGATAAACCCCAAAGTGCTTCACACTCCATTCAGTCATTCACAAGCTGATCATGGAAAGTTACTACTTTGTGTCCAACGCTGCCGTTGGGCAGTTTGAAACAGGTGTTTCAAACCTGTTTCTGTCTCTGAAGTGTCAGCAGGTTTGGCTAAAGAGACAACAGAGACGGTTGGAGCAAGACTCGAACCAGCGACCCATCATTTACTGGATGAACTGCTGGCACCACGGCCGGCCCAAGTCTCCATGGGGTCCTAAGCAAAATCTGGTTTGGGGATCCTCTACTTCTGCTAATCATGTGGATTGCTTACATCAACAGTCAGATGATCATTTGCACCCCTGCTGTGCAGTCATTGCATCTGTGACAGGGCTGTTTACGTGATATCTTATCTGCATGTATCATACAGGACATGATTTATCAGCAAGACAATTCATCTACTCTTATATCCTGAATTTTGGGTAGATTGGTGGTACAGAAAGGAGTGTTTAACCATGAAATAGTGTTAGAAACCAAAAAAATCTCACAAAACATTTTTGTATCTGATTATTAACTCCAATACTAACAATTTCAATCAATATTTGTGCAATTATGTTTTTTTTCCCCTCACAAATAAATCAATGACGACGATTTTCTCATTTACTCATTTGGACATGAAAAATGGATTTTATATTTTTTGTGTCCACTGAAAAGAATCAAGAGTCTGCTGCAGCACTAACATGACTCAAGGTAATGGCTACCTCACTTTCTGAGATCAGAAAAGTATGCTTATGCATACGAACCACAATACTTATTCTGAGTTTTCAATAACGCTGCTTTCTAAAATGAGCCTCTGTTCTGAAACTGAAAGCCCAGAGTAACTCACAGCATCAGTTTTCTGCTCAGAGCTTGTCAGCCTTGCTTTCTGAAATGAAGCCCTATTTTCTCCTGCAACAGGAAATCTGTCCTGTCAGGCTAAATAAATAGATCAATACCACAACGCATAATTTACCACTAGAACATGTGTGAAGAAACAAGAGCATTATTACCAATAAAAGCCGTAAGAGAAACCTTCAGAAAACAAACTGACCTTTAGGTGAGTGCAGAGTAAGTCATAGTTTGATGAACTGCAGGAACCACTGAAACTGTGTGAGGTGACTAAGTGAACACACGTCAGTTTAACAGATAACAAACCACACAAATGCAAAGGTACATGCAGATTTATCAGTGTGAGAATGTGGAGTTTATTTTGTTGCACTGTGGAGCTTATCAATAATTGGAAATACTTCCCGTGTTGATCAGTCTCACCTGCTGATGTTGGTTATTTCTGAAGTATTGTTGCAGATGTTACACTCACTAACTCTCACAGTGTGTATTGGTGGTTGATTCTTCACGGTTTGCATGTTACACAGTGTCATGTGCATTTTGCGTGTGTGTCTGTTGCAATCTACTCTGACCATGCTAAGCAAGCTATTTTGGCTACACAGTGGTCTAAGATATAATATTTTTTCATACAGCAAAATACAGGCAAGTACCCAGGAAGTGGTGTGTGCATGTTTAACTTTGATCAAATGTTAGTGACGTCAGCTGACATTGAACTCAATGCACAGCTTGACATGATAAATGTCAACTTAAGAAATCTGTGTGTTTGCTTTTTTTTCATACATCTTAATTATTCCCAGTTTTTCTCAAAGTCCACACTTTCAGTTGACTCCCTGTGGTGTTTGCTGTTGCCCTTCTTTCACTCTCTCTCTCTCTGGTTGCTCTCGAACTCTAACACCGCTGACTAGCATTCACACCTGTAATGATTTATTATAATGTAAGATCATTTTACTGAGCACATTTCAGTAACAAGGCAGCTCAAAGTCATTTACATGTATAATCTGCCATCGCGACATAACGCAATGTTCACCTCTCAGCCATCTTATTGACCCGAAAAACATGCTGTCATTTTGGTCCGACAACATCAGGTTGTACTCCTCACCGCCTGCCTGGTCGTCAACAGGCTTTTTATGAATAATGCTTCTCACAAGCTGTAAACAAAAGAATTTAAATTCAGCAGCAGGAAAAAGCAACTTAATGGAAGCTGGTTTTCAGCTGTCACTATGGATGGACAAACATGGAAAAGCTGCTTTTTTCCTTCATGCCTCAATTTTAGTTTTGGTTCCTGTGTTAGATTAGCCACAACCACAAGGGGGAGCCATTTACACAATCACAGGCGCCAAACTCCGGCCCTGGAGGGCCAAAGTCCTGTAACTTTTAGATGCACTGCTGCAGCACCTGCACAGAATAATTAGGTCATTAAGGCTCTGGATAACTGATCTACACAAGATGGAGGCAATAAATCCATTTGATTCCAGTGTTTTGTACCTGTGGCACATCAAAAACCTGAAGGACAGCCAGGCCCTGGAGGACTGGAGTTTGACTCCCGTGTATAGAATATTTTCTAGGAAGATTTTAGGTTCAGTTTTTCTTTTTAAAACACTTGAACATTTCATAATGTTGCCTTTTTCTACTAACAAGAAGTAATCAGTCTGTGTCCAGTCAGAAATGACAAACATCATCATATCATTTTATTTAAAAGATGTACTAAAACCTAAAAGCCAGAAAAGTTGGGACTTTTTCAAAAGTTAAATTAAATTAAAATTTAAAAAGCTTGAAATATCATGATATTAAGAAATCAGGAATATTTAATTCACAACTAACAAAGATAAACAACGACAGAAACAAATGGCGATTATGAAAGAAAATGAATAAAAATGTCTTTATGTACCTAAAATATCAGGCTTTCATTTTTCTTCACAAATAACTTTTTTGAAAAGAAAAATAATATTCTTGCTCATCTTGCACATCATTCCTCTAACAAACTGGGGTCAAAGGTCATGTCAAGGATTAGCATCGGTTAACAGCAACGTCATTATATTCAGCTAAATAGTGATTGTTAACATCAGTGTTAGTGTCAAGAGGCAGGTCTCCAGACTGACCTCTACATATTTTAGCTCTAATAAAAGGCTCTTTGGGCTTTAAAGGTAAATGGAAAAGGCACTCAGTCTCTGAAATACAAAAGCTGTGAAGCTTTTAATTTCTTCAGTTGTTGGGTTTTAATAAAAGAACCATGAAGAATTCAGAATATATCAAATTAAAGCAATCTCTTCTGCAAGAAATCCACAACAATAGTCTGAGAAAGTAAGATGTAAATATATTCCATCTGTGAATAAATATACAATATTTAAACAGCTGTAGTGTGCAGATCAGACATGTTATCATCATCAGTGCTGCTGATCTGCTGATCCTCAGATGTTTTACAGGAACACAGTGAAGCTAAAATCTTATCAATTGCATTTTTCCTCAGAAAAACATACAAAGCTGAGTCTGCAAGAGGACTTAGACATTGACAAACTGCAGCCAAAGCTTGAAAAATTACATTTTCCCTAATTTCCTCCAAAACTAAACACAATATAACTGGCAGAAAAAGTAATATATATGTAAGCAACACCACAACCTGGACTGAAAAGACTCGATGTTTCTCCTCAGCAGCAACACTGCGACTTTCAGACAGAGCTTTAATGGTCCCAACCAGGCTGAAGATGAACAAGGGAAGAGGGAGGAGGAGAAACACACCCAATATGGTTCCACTGGTCTTTAGTTCCAGCGGAAGATAAACGCTGAAGATAAAAATAACAGAAAGGATCCAGACTGCAACGCAGACCAACACAGACGTCGTCAGGTTGTTTCTAAATCTGTACCACAGCGGCTTGGCAACGATCAGATACCTGGAATCAAAGACAAATGTGGTCGGCATTGATGTACTACAGAAACACACATGTGAAGAAATGCAGATAGTTACCTTTCCAGGGAAACACACATCATGAATCCAACACTGGTTATCAAGCCAAGCCGGAAAGCATAAAGAAAGACATTAGAGCCTCCGTGTAACATCAGAGGGATTCTGCTGCAGAGCTGGATGAGATCCGAGATCAGAAGGTTGAGGACGTAAACTGGAGCAACAGGATCTTTTTTCACCTGCAGGGGGACAAAAAGAAAAGGAGCTAAAGACAGAATCCAAATGCATGTAGTTAGTAGATTCTAGTTGTACAAACACAACATGAGAAGCTTCTGTCCTGCTGTATTCCTGACATGTATTTTTATTTGCTTGATATCAGAGAACGTCCGCTCAGCAGCGGAGGAGGATAGAGGAACATTCATGGCCGGAGCTGGAGATCAACTCTGGCTCCTCCAAATGTTCTCCAACCCTGAAAGAGACCTGCTGCAGCTGGATGTCACCCAACAACTCAAACTGACAGACGCCCTGTTACTCTAACACAGAGCAGCCATTCCCAGCATTCCCAGCATTCCAGCAATGTCATTTACATGGATACTCACACCAGCATTCACTTCTCATGTTTATTAGAATGATTAAATGCAAATTAGAAAGTCTTTTTCTCAGCAATAGTAACATTTTATAGGTGAAGTTGAGTAAATATTTCAAAAATATTTAAGAATTGAATCATTATTACCAAGCAATCAACAGGATGCTATTTCTGAGTTCATATTTGATCCCTGAAAGGAAACCCAGCTTTTCCACAACAACTGCATCTTAATGACGGGTTTCAGACTCACCCTTAGTGAATAAATTACTGAATTACAACAGACCGCCTTGAGCAATTACAGAACAGAAATAGTATTTGTTAGAATAATTAGGTTTTGTTATCATTCTTACATTTTTAGTTTTACTAGTTTGTTTTACATTCATAGATTTAGTATTCACATCCCAGAGAGAAGGAACTTGTTAGGCCTTGGAGCTGAAGCTGCTTCTTATCTTGGGATGCTCCTTAAACGGCCTGTGTGTAAATCTTCCTTTGTCCTCCCCCCACATTCCTTTCCTGCTATGCTGTGAAATAAAGGTCCACTTCTGATGCAGAGAGTCAGAACGCATGGCAGACGCCTTGAGGAAGTGGTTTGCTGTGCCTTCTCCTTTTGCAAAAGACTTCTCTTTTTATGTACAGTTGTGGTCAAAAGTTTGCATACACTTGTGAAAAACATAATGTCATGGCTGTCTTGAGTTCCCAATAAGTTCTACAACTCTTATTTTTCTGTGATAGAGTGATCAGAACACATACTTGTTTGTCACAAAAAACTGTCATAAAGTTTGGTTCTTTCATAAATTTATTATGGGTCTGCTGAAAATGTCACCAAATCTGCTGGGTCAAAAATATACATACAGCAACATTAGTATTTGGTGACATGTCCCTTGGCCATTTTCACAGCAACTAGGCGCTTTTGGTAGCCATCCACAAGCTCCTGGCAAGCTTCAGGTCGAATGTTTGACCTCTCTTCTTGACAGAATTGGTGCAGTTCAGCTAAATGTGATGGTTTTCTTGCATGAACCCGTTTCTTTAGCACTGTCCACATGTTCTCAATGGGGTTTAAGTCAGGACTTTGGGAAGGCCATTCTAAAACCTTAATTCTAGCCTGGTTTATCCATTCTTTACCACTTTTGATGTGTGTCCTGTTGTCCTGTTGGAACACCCAACTGCGCCCAAGACCCAACCTTCGGGCTGATGGTCTTAAGTTTTCCTGCAGAATTTGGAGGTCATCCTCCTTCTTCATTATCCCATTTACTTTCTGCAAAGAACCAGTTCCACTGGCAGCAAAACAGCCCCAGAGCATAATACTACCACCACCATGCTTGATAGTAGGCATGGTGTTCCTGGGATTAAAGGCCTCAGCTTTTCTCCTCCAAACATATTACTGGGTGTTGTGGCCAAACAGCTCAATTTTTGTTTCGTCTGACCACAGAACTTTCCTCCACAAGGTTTTATCTTTGTCCATGTGATCAGCAGCAAACTTCGGCCGAGTCTTAAGGTGTCTTTTCTGGAGCAAGGGCTTCTTTCTTGCACGGCAGCCTCTCAGTCCATGGCGATGTAAAACACACTTGACTGTGGAGACTGACACCTTCGTTCCATCAGCTTCCAAATCCTTGCAGACCTGCTTTTTGGTGAATCTTGGTCGACTCTTGACCATCCTGACCAATCTCCTCTGTGCAGCATGTGATAGCTTGCGTTTTCTTCCTGATCATGGCAGTGACACAACTGTTCCATCCACTTGAAACTTGCAAATAATTGTCTGCACAGTTGTTCTTGGGACCTGTAGCTGCTTTGAAATGGCTACAAGTGACTTCCCTGACTTGTTCAAGTCAATAATTCGCTTTTTCAGATCCACACTGAGTTCCTTTGACTTTCCCATTGTAGCTTTTGAGGCTGAATCTAATCACAGGGTCAAATGAGCCCTATTTCAATGGGCTCATGAGAAGTGAACAACTGTAGTCAATCAGAATCACTTACAAGAAGTGAAGAGACCATGACATGAAGCTAATTTGATTGAGACAACTCTCTACATCACCAAAATTGACAATTTATGTTGCTGTATGTATATTTTTGACCCAGCAGATTTGGTGACATTTTCAGCAGACCATAATAAATTAATGAAAGAACTAAACTTTATGACTGTTTTTTTGTGACAAACAAGTATGTGTTCTGATCACTCTATCACAGAAAAATAAGAGTTGTAGAATTTATTGGGAACTCAAGACAGCCATGACATTATGTTTTTCACAAGTGTATGCAACTTTTGACCACAACTGTAGGTTGAGAAAACGATGCAGCTGAACTACCGAACAAAATTCATGGCTACAGAACCAGGAATCATTGTAATGAATCCATGTGATCAGCAGCCAATACAGTCAGGAGAAACATGTCAGGCAAACGCAGGTCAAAACTCGTCTCTCAGCTCACAGCAAATGCTCAGTAGTTTACAATTCACATTTTATTGGGAATTTTCCTGCCTTTTGCAAAGTGATGAATAATTTAGTAATGATATCTTGACTTATGACATAAAAGAAGATTTGTAGTAATTTTGTACTTACCATTGATAAAAGAGCAAATATAATCACCAGAGTCAAAGGAAGCCCAACACAAATAGTGATCCAGTCCACCACATCCACAGATTGAAAAACAAGGTTTCTGTATTCATCATCATCATAATCGTTATTATTGTTAAATGCATTAAATGCATCACTGTTGTTGGAGATGCTCTCATTGCTCCATGAGGTGTTGCTGACGACGATATTCTCCATTCTTCAGTGTCAAACCTGCAGGATTATGAATAATGGAGACTTTATTTTCCTTTAGCAACTCTTCAGATCTGTACTAAGTGTGAGAGAAAAATCAATGCCTATAGAGATTGTTTTGTAAAGAATGTTGAGTATTTACATTTTTTGTGTTTTTACTGAAATGCAAATAGATTTACTTAGTTGCCTGATGTAAATGTTATATTTTATCAGTTTTCTCATTGAACATATGGAATATAATTTTCCTCAGCAGCATTAGACTGAATGTGTTTTCCTTATTTCTGTGCATGACAAAAAATATATTTACCTTTTCAAAGTTAACAGCTGCTGAAATGATTCGTTCTCAGCCGTTTATCCTTCTCATCAGGTCTGCAGTCGGTGCACACTGTGTTTGCATGCTACACCAGGCTGACCATGACATGTGACTCTGCTTCAAGCAGATGGTTTGATAACATGATTATCTTTACCAGCAGGAAGGAACCATCCTTTAAGATCATAACTAAATGTATCAGTTGTCAAAAACACAACTTTTAACTGAACTCAGTTCAGCCATATGGTGCCAATAAATATCCTATCAGTTCTCTTTCTATGTACGTTTCACCTTTAAGCATGATTTACCTCTTTATGTTAAAGAGTTTGAGTCATGCATGTTACTCAGCACCTCTCTGCATCTTTAACTTCAATAAGTGTTAAAGAAGCAAAGCTTCAGTCATGGAAACATGCAACAGGAACCAGTTTGGGCATGCTGGATGCAGGATGTATTGCTTTGGCCTCTTCTACTAACACTTCTTCAGCCATGTTGGTTCTTTGTCTGGACTGTGACAATCAGATAAGTGGTGGATCAACAGAGACTGATGGGTCCCTGCAGCTAACAGAAAGGATTTCACTGTTTCAACAGACTGAGCTTCATTCATTTCATGTGAAACTCATTGACAATAACTCTTTAGATTAAAACTTATTCTTTCTCTTCCTTCATCTTTGTCTCTTTCAGATGTTTAAAGTACAACAATCACATCTCAGATGACTCTGGGCTAATATTTACCTACATATAAGACTCTGATTAACAAAAGCAGAAGAAGTTGTTTCTCTGTTCTGTGACAAAAACTGAACGTCACAATAAATCTAATTTGTAAGACACAATAAATATGACATCTTGATAAAACAAGGCAACATTTAATTCATAATTAATTGGGCAGCATTTTAAAATGGAAGTGAAGCTCAAACTATGCAAAGAAGCAAAACCAAGAGCTGAACAGTGACAGCAATGCATATGCAATGCCTTGCATGAACAAGGTTTCAACACTTTTACAACATTGAACACATCAAATAATTTGTATATCAGTAAAGCAAACCAACAGACAGAAAACTTAAAATGATAAACAATGTTCTTCAAACCAGTAATTTAATAAGTGGATAATTTACCTTTAGCTTGGCTAAATTTGCTCAGCCAGAGAAATACTTCCCAGAGTCCTGACATGTGTCTCACTGGCCAGCTGGAAAGGAAACTGCTGTTTTCCAAGCTTCAAAATAAGCTTTTAATTCTGCAGCACTTAGGAGAGCTGGTCACACAAAAGTCATTAAATTAAAGCTTTGAAAGGGAGACTAGCAGTTAATGCACTGGCTTTAGTGCTTCCTTCAAGAAAAAAACTCATGATTGAGGAAATCTGATGAATAAATGATGTTTCCTGTTAGTGCGTTGTCGAGTCTAGTCAAGTTAATTTATGCAGCACATTTACAGCTGGCATTGTGAGAAAGTATTCAGCCCCCCGAGTCAATACTTTGTGGAGCCAAATTTCATTGTGTGTGTGTGTGTGTGTGTGTGTGTGTGTGTGTGTGTGTGTGTGTGTGTGTGTGTGTGTGTGTGTGTGTGTGTTTGTGTGTGTGTGTGTGGTGTGTGTGTGTGTGTGTGTGTGTGTGTTTGTGTGTCTGCTGCAGCAGCATCATTCCTGTCTGCACCACCCCAAGGGGGTTGCATAGTGCAGCAATATGCATGTAAGCAGATGAAATTGAAAGAGACAATCCCCCTGGTGAGGAGCCCAAAACCTCCCCTCCCTCCCTCACCACTCAGTGTGCACATGGATCCCAAGTGGGCAGTTCTTTCTGACTGTTGCCCTGATCTGCCCCTCCAGCAGAACGCCACGTCTCCAGTAACGGCCCGCGTCCCTCAGTTTGAAACTCCATCTGTATTAAACATAAAACATGGCAAAACTAATGAGGCACTAAGTTAGAAGTGATTAAATAAAATTATAGCTAATATGAACAGGACTATAAAAGCATGTCCAATCCCCATGGCAACCATTCAGCTGTGCAAACACCTGGTTTACTGAGCACCACCTTTAAGACACAGCTCCTCCTCAAAGACACAGTTTCCAGGCTTTGAGGCAGTTTCCCCACGACTCCCACATTCAGCTCCTTCAGACTAGCCAACGATTAGCAAACATCTGGTGGAACTGCACATCTGCTGAGCTAATCATAACAGCTCATTCTGAGCACAAAGCTGGTAAAGGGTTAACAGAATAGTCATGATGGTTTCCTAAAGGAAGCATGTCGGAAAGATCAGGAGTTACTTTGAGAGACAGAGGCCCAATTAAAATGAAATTATGAAGCCAAATTTATTTTGTCAGAGTTGAGATATTTTTATAGTAAGTAAAAAGTAAAATAGTTACCTTCCATCAAATGGCACTGTATGCCTGGATAATAAATAATACTGCCCCTTTAAGGCCACACCTGAAACACTGACTTCTTGTTTGATTGACATCATTGTAAGGTCAAAAGAAATCAGCCAAGATAGCAGGAAGAATTATGGAGCTGCAAAGTCTGATACGTCCTTGGGAACATTTTCCAGAGTCTTGAAGGTTTTCAAACAGTCCAGACATGATGGGACGTCCAAACATCACAGAGCAACTCAGCAAAGAGATGGGTTCCAGAGATGACCTAGTTTGGTCTGAAGATGCTGCTGAAGCTGGTAAGACAGAGTCATTATCCACAATGAAGTCTAAGAAAACATGTCTAAGTCAGAAAACATGAGCCCTGCAGACCCCCCACATCCTGGACACAAACTGTTGAGACTTTGATCCTCTGGTCAGACTTTTATATTCATTCAACTACTTATTATGTTTCAAGAAATGGTTAAAAAAAGGACACTTACAGGAATTGGTACCAAAGGATTTTCATTCATTTATTTTCCATATTTATGTACATGATTCACATTATTGTGTTTATCAGCGATTTAAATGAAGTATAATGATATTCAATGTTTAATACATGCAAAGCCAACATTCAACAAGACAAAGAAGAAAGAAAGAACAAATGTTTCTTCCAAGCTTTTTTCATCAGAAAACTAAAACATGTTCATTTAGAAGAGGCTGATAGAGCTAATGTCTGAGAAAAACATGAATCTATGTGAAACGTCACACACTCATTGTTTCCTCGAGTCTCTTAATTTGGATGTTTGAAACATTTCTTAGTTATTTAAGTTTGTTTAAAATGTTCTGCTATGTTCAGCTCATTTCCCTGTTTATTATTATTAATAAGGTGTTTCTATATGAGTTCATTCCTTCAGGTTTTATGTTTATCTCTTCTGTTCCCGGTTCATTTTAGTTTTTCCTCTCAGGTCAGTGTTAATATTGTTTCTTCTTGGTCTGGAGTTTATTTTATGCCAATCTGAATTTCCTGTTTATTAAATATTCCCATCTTGTCCCATTTTCCTTCCACATAATTCTTCCTGCTATCTTGCCTGATTTCCAAATCCTGATTAGTCGACCTGCATCAGATGTCATTCCTGAATCTTTCCTTTATATAAAATCTCACAGGTTTTAGCTGCTCATTACTTCTGTTACTCTTCCAGTAATCCCCACTTAAGTCTCCTTGTTGCTCACTAATAAAAATGGTTTTGGAATTTATCTAAAATTATTTTCTGTGTTAAATACAGTTTCACACATGTTGAAATCAGTCTGCTATGCAGTCATTCTGTTTTTCCTGCTGTAGTTAAAATAAACTGTTTAAATTGTATGAAATCTGTTTTTTGTATTTTTTTTTAATTTCATCTTTATGCAAGTTTTCATTTTATCACAAATATTGTGTGTATAACTGAAGCAGTTACTTCCATCACACTAAAAACTCTACAGAAGAAACACGATCATTGTTAAAAGCAAAAATTATTAACAATTTCTCCTGAACATATATTTTGTAGACACTTTCCTAAAATAAGTTTTTTAATAAAAGAAAAAACATTTTATACAAATGTCAAACATTAATTTCTCCTGAAAATATATTTTTTAGACACTTTCACATGTTCTGAAAAATAAAAGGCTTAAATAAATCATTTCTAAAGAGACCCAGTGTCACGGTCAAGTTAAAAAAAATATGTTATTAGTTAGTTTTTAAACATTTGTAGTTTTCCTAAAAGTAAGTTTTTTAATAAAAGAAAAACATTTTAGACAAATATAAACATGTCTTGATTAATAAACTATTTACATATTTCTAAAGATCAATAGTTATTTGGTGATGAAAACAGTTTTCATATCCAGGATACTTAAAATATTAGATGAATTATTGCTTATGTACAGAATTTATTTAGTCTTAATTTGACCTTTCAGGTATTATTCTCTGCCTCTGTTTGCCCCTGAGAAGCCGACCAGCTACATGTTGTTTGTCTGCTGGTTCCCATTATGAGTCTCTTCTGCAACAACACAGGAAGGCCAGCAGTTTGTCAAGAACCCACTTCTTTATCAGAATGTATAGAAGCAAGTCTGTCAGAGGATTTATCGCAATTAAAGTACAGGACACATTTAACAAGTAAAAAAATCCGGTAAAGTTGAAATCCCTCAGCCACCCTCCTCCCAACAACACGAACTCTGTAACAATATGTGGTAAGAATGTCAGTGTGTAAGCAAACAACACCACAGTTAAAACTGCAATAATTTGTCGTCTTTCATCAGGTGAGACATTATGGGATGCAGACAGAGCTTTCAGACTGCGCACAAGGAAGAATATTAACAGAGGGATGGGAATGATGAGGAGGTTTCCCAGCCATATTCACCATTTAAACCAATAACAACACAAAGGATCCAGGTCACAACACTGACTGACACAGAAATCTTGAGTTTTCGCTGGAATCTGTACCAAAAAGGCCAAGAAATCAGCAGGTACCTGAAATTCAAAAGCAAAATTATAGAACAAAAGAATACAAAGATAAACATCAGCAAAAAAATAAACTAATTTACCTTTCTGTGGCGATGAAGGTCATGAAGAAAACACTGGCCATCATACCAGAGTTGTAGCCAGAAGAAATTAATAAATAACTTGTTAAATTGTAATTTACAATTGCCATTTCAACAATCATACAGCAAATCTGAATGATGTCTGAAATTAGAAGG